ACGACAATTGGCATGTAGGCATAAAATAGGTCATGCTTCATCAGTTGAACATTATGGTGTAATGAATGACAGACCAATTATTCCAGCACCTAAGCCAATCGTCCCTATGATTAAACAAGAATATGATGAAATTGAGGATATCTATGACTTATATGGGAATATCTAGGCTCAAAGAGTCATTGCTCTGCAATAGATTAGTGATATAATTAGTTATTAATTATCAGTTTTGATAGCATCTTCACTTTGAGAGTCACTATCGAATAAACCATAAGTTTCAATTTTTTTTATACAATGTAATATACAATGTCCAGCTTCTTCATCAATACAACAATGATTTCTACAACAACCTAGTTTATTTAGTATATGTTTTTCACAATAACTTCCTAAATTAGGATCATGAAATAATTTATTACATTTCCGACATTTATCAAAGTAATCTAGAAATTTACTTTTATTAAGTTTTTTTACTATTTTTTTTATATAACAAAATTCGCTTGTTTTTTCATAATCTCTAGGTATATCATAATCCGAGGAATCAGAGATTCGAGGCTTTGTCCCATCAAGGTACTTCACTGAAAAATTAATTCCAGCATCTTTCATTGCTTTAAAATCAAAAATTTGATCCATATCGTATTTGTGAAAACTTGAGAATTCTATATAATAATAATAATAATAATAAAATTAATTGTGCAAATATCAAAATCTTATGAGGATTCATTCATATGTTTACTAATCACGCTTCATTACTTTTACTACATCCACAGTAAAATCATCATCATCATTAGACGATTCAGACCCAGATGAGGATGAGGACTCAGATGCGGTATCATTTAAAATTATCTTTTTTCTTTTAGCCTTACATGGTGTACGGTTTCTTTGAGAAATATCCGGGTTTGCTATCGAGTTTATAATTTCTAACCCAATCTCGGGTTTCACTATTTCCAGTAATTGGTGAAGAGAAATCGAAATTCTTCTATGTGATATCTGTTTAACAATTTTAGATACTAGTTTCGAGGTATTATTGCCGGAGGCAACTGTTTCACAGCTATTTTTAACCATTGGATTTAAATTGATTTATTATTAATACGAGTAAAAATATATTATTAAATATATAATTATAATAAAGCATCACAATGATAACTTTATCCTGCAAAATAAATAAAGTACCATTTACATCCATATTAGATTCTGGTGCTAATCGTGATATTATAGAAAAATTTATCAATGATTTGTCACCGGAGAATCAAATAAATGCGATCCGATTTGGGATTAAGGAGCCTATAAATAATATAATTGAGCATTTAAAATTTATCTCAACCGGGCCTACCAATATTCAAAAATTCCGATTTGGGGAATTGGAGCAAGGAAATGATTCAGTAATGGAGTATTTTGCAAAAGTAAAAAAATGTAATGACTCGCTTGGATATGATGAAGAACATCTTAAACATCAATTCCTTCGTGGATTAAATTCTGATAACCAGATGGAAGCCAGAATATGCGGAACAGACCTATCATTAGATGAGCTGGTTGCAAAGTTAAGTGTGGTTGAGAATATCAGAAAAAATAAAATGGTATATGCGTCTAAATTACTTATCTGAACATTTAGTTATTTTTTGATTAAAGATAGATAATATTTAACTTAAGAATGACGCAACCAAATATTTTTGATTTACCAGAATTGCTAGAACAGATCTTATATTATTTGGAAATTGATCGATTCCTCTATTCTGCTTTATTTGTTAACCGTCTTTGGTATCACTGCGGTGTGCCATTACTATGGAGAAGAATTGAGTTAAAAGGTAATGATATCCATTATGGGCATTATTTTCCAGATGAATATAAATATTGTGAACGATATCGAATACGGTTAGAAAATTTCGTAAAAATAATATGCGGGGAGAAAAAACCAATTTATGCCTCAAACTTGAAAAACTTAAGAATTTCATATTGTCATTCAATTACACACAAATTAATTAGATCTATCATAAATTACTGCCCAAATATAATTTATTTAGACTTTAAAAATAGCGTGGGTATTAGTGATGAGACATTAATTAAAATAACTTCTTCATACCCGAATTTAAAACACCTTAATTTATGGGATAATCAAATGATATCTGATAAAGGGTTATGTGAGATTGCGCAAACATGCAATAAATTAGAATATCTAAATATTTCTTACTGTAGAAGTATTACCGATAAATCATTAATGACAATTGCTGAATCATGTCGTAATTTGCAAGAATTTTACTTCAGTGAAGCATATTGGATTACTGATAGATCAATAAGTCAGATTATAAACCTATGCCCTAATTTGCGATCTCTTGATATTGCATTTAGCCGTGGAAAAATCAAGGATGCTAATATGTTAATGCAAAAAAATCTCAAAATAGAATATCTCGATTTCGCCGGGGTTATGGCTTTTCGAAACGATTCTTTTATTGTAGCTATTATCAGGTCTTCTCCAAATTTAAAACATTTTGATATTTCTGGCAACGATATCGGAGATGAGGTTGTTGAAGCACTAGCCCACACATGCCACGAATTAGAATATCTTGATCTTGGAGGGTGTGGATTCATTACCGAACCATCGATATGCAATGTTATTCGCTCTTGTCCTAAACTTCAGCATCTTGAACTTAGATTTTGTGACATTTCCAATACAACCATTGAAGAAATAACCCGTTCGTGTCCCAATTTAAAATATCTTGATTTGGATAGTTGTGAAAAAAATGTTAGTAAAAAAGTTGTAAAACGACTTAATCCAAATATAAATATCGAAAATTACGATTCATCGTATGAGCAGTCTGATTCCGAATCTGATTCCGATACTTCTGACCCCGATGATGATAATGAACAGAATCTAGAAGAACTACCTTCACCTATTCCAATCTTTGCAGGTTCATCATTAGATAGAACAAATCTTATTTCTGCGCTCAGTAATTATATCAGAGAGATTGGCGGGATTAATCCTAATCATTCAGCATGGTTTACAAATAATTTTATTTAGTAGCGGAGAATGGGTAATTAGGCGTTTATCAACCTCCAGATAATTATTGGTAATTTTTCATATACAGTTTTCTGATCTATACGAACTATCAGCATATTAGGGGGAGAAATCATTTTTACGTAATCTTTGATGGAACTCGCTTCGTGGTGTTTGGAATTTCATGTGTGAGGATAAGGATTCTCTACCTCTATATTTTATATCGCGTGGGGCAAACTCAGTAATAGCATTAGGAATTAATTGGATTATTTTTTCAGATATTTCTATGTACGGCTTTATTAATGGAATATATGTCGAGTAATATCCGAATGATAAAAAATGCGTAACTCTTTACTGATTGAGGTTATGTAAATTCACGATTATCCCATTCTAAGATAATGTAGAATTTTTTAGAATATGTGATGTAATTAGGTACAAAAAAAACGTCATTACTCTATAATAGTTTTGTCTTCAAGAACTTCTTACCCGCAAGGTCATCAGCGAATGGACAAATTCTTCTACCTCTTCAACCGACTCATCATGAAAAGGGATTTTTGCTTTGATGATAGGCATGTAATATTTTATACTTTCTTCTTGTATTAATCCACTAAGT